CTCTCTCTGTCTCTCTCTGTCTCTCCTGTCTCTCTCTCTCTCTCTCTCGGTCTCTCTCTCTCTCTCTCTCTCTCAGATCGTGTCGTTGTGTCTTACCTCTACGTTATGGTCATGTGGTGGAGCCAGCAGTGCCTTCATCGTCTTCTCCAAGTTGGTTCCCATTTCGTGCATATACTTTGCAACTGAATGAGCAAAAAGAAGAGTGTGAAACCAGAGCTGTGCAGGTTGTGTGTGTCAGATGTTGCAGCAGAGCCGTCTGTGTGAGCTGCAGTCTGACTGTCTTACACTCGGTGAAGATGAGCTGCAGGGCTGTGAAGCAGATGTTTATGTGGCCGAGTTCCATGATACGATGGCGAATCGCAGGCTCTCCCGTTCGCTCCAACCAGTGCAACGCATCCTCCAAAACCTCTGGCGACCGCTGGTGGTACAAAGTCACACTCAGATGAAGTCGTCAACATTACTTTTAGGTACTGATAACCTCGTCCATATAACTTTTCTCAGACTCACCGTCTGAAACATGTTGCGTATCCAGAAAACGTGTTTTGATTGGTCCTTTTTCAACTGGAACAGAACAAACAACAAGTTTAGATCAAAGAAAACAGTCCTCTAATTATCTTCAGTGTTAAATGAAGCATTATATGTGTTATCTAAGATAACTTCTGAGTTTTCCTGTATTATCATAGCGGAGATCCTGAGTAAACCCTGACAGGAGAATGAAAATCTAATAATAAAGTGTTTGAATATCTTCAGATCAGCAGAATATGAAACGGCTTACACTTTGCCCATGTCTGCATTCCTAATTGATTGTATGTTGCAGTGTTTAAGCCACGTTCAACTCCACAAACTCTTTCTGGGATAAACTAAACTTGTTCGTAATAATTTAGCAGTTAAGTTTTAATGGACCAGTTTGTAGGATCTCGTGGTGTAGTTGCTAAACGAGTGAAAAACAATAGGACGTAACGTGTTGGCTGTGGAGGCGGTTGGCTAACTTAAAGAAAAAATACGGAGATTATTTTGGTTCAGTAGTTTCTGGATCTTTTAGTTTGACTCCACTTACAGTTCCTTTCTCCAAAGCTCTGAGGACTGCTTCCACCGTCTCTATCTTGTGAAGGTGCCTCAGACTGAGATCTTCACTGCGAGCAGAAGGAGAGATCATTACAGAGCAGTCCAAACACTGAACATTAAAGCTGTTATCATCCAGACACCAGCTGTGCTTACTTTGAGTCGATCAGACCTATTTTAAAAGCCCAGGCAGCGATAGCGCTGCAGTCCTCACGCTGCAGCAGGATGGGAAGCCAGAAGGCACAAATCTTCATCCGCTGCGCTGCCTCCTTCCTGGTATCGATGGGAATATAACTCCATCGTTCAAAAACCTCATCTGAAAGACAAACACACACCGGAAATACATTTAGATTGACCCGGCTGAGAGCAGCAGGTAGAAACTGATCACTGGACTGTCACATCCAATAATGACAGAGCAATGAGCTGGGTGTGCAATCACATGACCCACATTTCACAACTCAGATATATCTGTATCAGAAATCAGCAGCAGGTCTTTCAGTCTTCTGCAACGTATTGTGTAATATCCAGGTTTGTTTCTTACAGCAGATGATTAATAATTTATTTCTATCTCTTGACTTGAGCTGGGCGAGTTATCATACTTTCTGACACCCTCGGTTACTGACTTTCATACAATCCTTCCTGAATCAATAAACAGACTGGGAGCTTCCACTGTCAGCGGATTAGTGGCACATTAAAATGAGTCTGTAAAACTCAACTTCAAAGTAATATAAACTATAAACAGGCAGATGTTTGGAGTAATGAAGTTTAAAGGGTCCAAAATTAACTGTGTGGCTCAAATCTGAGAGAGTTTTTACCGACTTTAAAACAGAATCATCTCCGTTTTCTTTTTGTGTCCCCACCTCTCTGCTAACTGCGTAATGCAAACAGTAGTACGCTGCTTTGGTTTGATGACGTCGTTTATTTGGGACCCTGACAGTTTGTGTTGAGCTCAAATATCACAGAGTTAATGTCGTCTTGTGTCCTTTCTATTAAACATTAGTGTATGAGCTGTTGGTGCTGACGTTCCTGTTTTAAAGTAATGTAATGTGGTTGGTAATCACTCAGTGTGACAGGAGATACACTGTAGGTCATCCAAGCACGTCAACACTCGAGTCTACATACTCCACGACGGACTACTGTAGCTCTGTATTCACTCTTACCTGGTGGCTGGATGATGGAATTACTTTTATTGGTGACCAGAATTGTCTAAAAGAGGAGAAACAGTTTATTAGTGAAATACAAACGATAAGTTGGCTCAATGCTCTTATTCAGATTATTGCTGGGTAACTTACTGCAGTCATCCGATCTCTGATGTCTTCCCACGTACAGTCAGAATCAGAGTCCGAATCCGACATTTTGTCCAACTCTGGAAGAACATTTGAATTTAAATCAGTTAAAATGTACAAAAACAGTCTGCAGGGAGTTCGAATTCATTCCACTGTAAAGTTAACGTGAAGGAACTTGTCTGTTTTTTATTGGTGTGTGTTTTAAAGTTTCCAGACTGCAGCTGCAGCGACACCACAGAAACCAGAACATCTGGATCCCCGCGGTCTCCTGTTTGATTTGATAAGCAGCAGAGATTTCTACGAGCCGAGCGTTTTCAACCTCAATACTGTAGACGATCACATTCATTTAACTGCGGGAAGCCCAAATCTTTATTAATATTAAATTCATTGTTGCAGCGCTACAAACAAGTGTTTCAATCAGCTTCAGACGACCGTCAGCAGTCAGTGTCTTTATGAGATTAGTAAATAAACTCTCACTATAGAATCAGACTGGAAGCAGCGCTGTTGGTTGGCGACACAATAAAATCTGACACAGGGCGTTCAGTCTGAGTAACAGAGACTTACTGGTTGATATCAGTTCGTCTTTTAATCAGTCGACACAAAGTTAATCAGAAACTATTTTGATAATCAATTACTTGTTTTAGTCATTTTTCAAGCAATAAAAAGGAAAAACGTTCACCGGTTCCTGATCTTCTTCTGGGATTATTTGCTACTTACGAGGAGTTTTGAAAACAAACAATATGAAGACCTGACTGAAAAACTGACGGCACATTTTGTAAATTAAATGATGAATTCAGATCGTTGATGAAAATAAGAGTTAGTGTGATACTATGAAGGATTCTCCAGAAGGTTATAATGTCGTCACAATGACCGAGGTTAACAGAAATATTAGTTCCTCCAGAATATCACAGGTTTATTTGCAGATTGTTGATTTTGATGCTTTATTGTGATTTATTAAGACGTTTTTAACGATAAAATTACAGGAGAAAGTAATTTAAAATAATTTGTTCCAGTGGGAATAACGTCGGTGTTTGGAGGGTTAAATGTGAGTGAGTTTGGGATGACTCAGCGTTTTGTGCAGGAAACCACGATGATCGGTCAAATGTGTTAATTTTAGGTCTCACTGAAGAGGAATGTATTCGCACACAGCTTCTAAAGATCTGTCTGAACTCAGCCCGGCTCCACCGTTAACCTGAGCCGCTGGAAACTACCAGAGCCAGTTCACTGAGCATGACTCAGCCCGACCCGCTGGATAAACAACGAGTCTGCAGAACAATGAACACACCTCGAGCCCTCCTCAGATCCGACCGGGACCAAATCTAATAAAGCCGGGAATAAAAACAGCTGAAGAGAATTAAACTGAAACAAAAGATTACCAACTACCTTTAAAAGCTGAGCTACAGTTTACAGACGTTACACTGAACTACTCAACCCTCGTTATAACGCCGCTGTTCCAACACGCCTTAATCCTCCACCTGCGTACCAGAGCGCCGTCCTCCCACCTGATCCAGAGAAACGCCGTCTCACCCGCTCTCACACACCAGAACCAAACACTTCCCGCCTCCTGAACGTCAAACCTTTGGGTTAAACACAACAGTCACCATAAGGAACCACAAACACACATCAAAGACAGTTAATATCTTTATTAATGTTCTTAAACTCTGAAGACTTCTGGTTTCCATTGTGGTAATAGAATATAAATTAAGGCTGTAAAATACGGCAAAAACATCAGACTGAGATTATCTTCATTTATTTTATTTCGCAATTATTGTGGGAATGTTTATTTTAATATCACAAATGTAATTTTCAGTGAATAAACGTATATTCGAGTATAAGGAATGCTTTTATTAACACTGATATTTTATTTTTCTTTATTATTTTTGCTTATAAATGATAAACTTTGTCATTTTAGTCTCATATTCGGTCCTTTAGGTTGGTTTAGTAACATCTGGCCCAGAGTCGACAGATATAATGTGTGTTTTATTAACATTACACACACCTGGAAGTCTTTACCGCACCTTTAAAACAGGTAACTGGATTAAAACAAGCTGTCTAATGTGGAATAATGTTTGTGTATTTGTTTAATTAGAGTCTGCTCTCCTGTTACAGATGGTAGGACACATTATCGTCCTCCTTTAATGTGTGTGAAGCGTCAACAGGAGGCTGCAGGTGGAAATTAACCCTTTAAATAAAGAGACCACAGTTAGGAGCAGCGTTGTGGACTGTAAGAGTGTGGTTCATTATTCTCACACACACATCACACACAAACACTCACTCTCACACACACACACAACGGGACACACAGCAGACACGACCACACACACAGACACCACAGACACACACACATGAGCACACAGCACACACAGACACAACACACCACACACAACAGACAGCACACACAACACAGACACACACACACACCAACACACACACAGACACACACAACAGACACACCACTCACTCACTCACTCACACTCTCACAGCACCACATCACACCACTCAACATCTCTCTCTCTCACAGCCACACGCTCACGGGACTTCTTCTCTCTCTCACACAACACACACACGCACACACACACACAACAACAACACCACACACACACACACACACCACCCGTCAGTAAAGACAGTTTAGACGGTTTATATACTTGTTATTTAACGGACGTTTTTAACAAGTTAAAGACGTTAAAATAAACCTTGGGAACACGCTGTTAGCACGTTAGCTGCGTGCTAAGCCTGCGCAGCACAGTGATCAAGGTGAGTTAACAGTGAAATTCCCTCCGCGGGGGGGAACTACTTTACCTTGCTAAACAGACGGAATACAACCTGGCTTTACGTGCGGTTTCCTCACGACGCGGATCCTTTTCACCACTTCTAATCAACTTAGCACACCTGTCTCGGTGTGCTCGGGCGGGACCGTTGGTTCCGGAGTCCTCGCAACACCGACGGGAGGTTACTGGAAGGTTAGTGGAGTGAATAAAGGACTCACCTGTTGTTACCTGGTAGGGTGCGCGCGCTCAGGCGAGTGACGCGTCCGTGCTCATGTTATTGTCCGGAAAGTTAAACAGCGAGGCGCCGAGGACGTGGGAAGGAAGAAGGAAGGAAGGAGGGGGGCGGGGCGATCGAACGTGGGCAACCGTGACGTGTGGAGGTTCATACCGCCACCTGCTGCACCGGGAGAATATAGCGAGCAGATTTATTATCTATATATTCATAATAATAAAGTATAAGTATATAATAATTAATATAGCAGCAGTGTATATTGATTATATTAATAATAATACAATATAATATATAATAATAACTAATAGCGCAGTTTACTTATTATATTAATATAATAGAATAATTAAGCTAATAATATAGCAGCAGTTATATTTATTATATATTAAATAATAATAAGTTAATAAGTAATATACGCCAGCAGGGTTATATTATATTATATATTAATAATAATAACAATTATATAATGTATAAATATAACAGCAGTTATATTTTATTATATATTAATTAATAAATTATAATAATTATAATAATAATATAGCAGCAGTTATATTATTATTGATATAATAATAATAACATATAACTAAGAATTGAAAATAATGAATATTTAGCGCAGTTATATTATTATGATATTAATATATAAATATAACTAATTTTTTTAATATAGCAGGCAGTTATATCGTATATGTATATATTAATAACTCAATACTATAAGTTAATATATAGCAGCATTATGATTTATTATATATTAATAATATAAATATACTATTAGATAATAATAAGCAGCAGTGTATGATGTGATTATATATTAATAATGAGATATATAACTAGTATATAGCAGCAGTTAGTATTTTTATTATGTATATTAATAATAATAGTATATATATATAATAAGTAATATGTAGCAGCAGTTAGTATTTATTATATGATATTAATACATAATAAATATAACTAATAATATAAATATGAAAGTATAGCAGCAGTTATATGTTTATAGTACTGTAAGTGAATAAGTATGATGAATAATGACAGTTGAGCAGCAGTATTATATGGTGATTATATATTAGATAATAGTCAGTATATAATTAAGAAGATGATAATGAATCGGAATTCGAGGCACGTATAGATGTTATGTGA